GTAGGTCTGCACAGAGGATAGATGATGCCTGTCACCTAAACCTTGTGTCTGGGGCAGAAAGTTTGAGCTCAGTAGTACTGTCCTTACTGTGTCTCACCTGTTCACTGCAGGGGCAGGGGAAAGGATTCTAACTGGCATCACAAAACCCAGAAAGACAAGGCAAAGAAGAAAACACAGAGAGGAAACACGGCCAATATTTGTGAACCATAAAGAAGGGCAAAGACATGAACAGCAAGTCCAGCACAATCACCAAACTACTGAGAAGCAAGATTCACAAACATTTTGGTCCATGTTTGGTTCCACTTTGGGATGATGTTTAACTAGGCATGGTTAATTATCCATCAGGCTTGCATTCATAACTTGAACTAGCCACTCTTTTCAGTAAACGGGTTTTGCTTCACTGTATGAAAACTTTCTTGATCCCCTTGAGGGTAATTCTGTTTTTCAGGAGACAGGTGATTTCTTGATCAAATCCTCTCTTCTGTGTTACTTGCTTTTCAGGGCAGGAACTGGATAGCATGGTATATACCTTGACAGTTGCAATGGGAGATTCCTGTTGGCACAGATACTACATCTGGAACTCTCAGAGAAACACATTTTAAAGAAAAACAACCAAACTTGTCAAGGGCTGCTTCCAAGAAGGAATGATGAAGCCTTACCCTAGGTTTTAGCAGAAACAGCCTCAGAGAGAGTTGCTGGACCTGGCAGAACAACATGGATAGAAACAATTCTCCCCTAGGGTGTGGTTTTGAAGTATTACATTATTCCTTCATCAGTCACACTACTACACTTTGGGGACTATTTAACAAAAGGTCATATATATGTTCTTGCAATATTAAGTACACATGAATAATTTTGGGCTGGGAGTCAAGTTTCCTAACTTCAACCACATCAAAATTCAGAAGCCAAAATTCTCTGCAAAAGGAGGAAGACAAGCATTTCCAGTGGGCACCTCTTTCTATATTAATCCTAGAGTGACATGAGTCAGCCTTTGGAGAGTTCTCTCTGTATTGACTGCAGTGTTCTTGCTGATCAGAACAAGACATCTGTCTCTGAGCTGACTAAAGCCAGATAAGATGAACAACACTATTGTTGCCCTCCTGTTCAAAAACATATTTTCTCTTTAGATTTACTGCTCATCCCAATGTTATCTTACTTCCCCTAGTCAAAATTAACAAAAAACCCTAAAAAGGTTTTTCTCAAGTTTAATATGATTTAGTGCTATTATGCTTGTGTTCTACTTTTTTACCATCTGAAGACCTAGCACTGTAAACACATCAACACTGGAGCAGCTTTACACAGAAAAACAGTATTCCTGTTTACTGGGATAAATCATGTGCCTTTCACTATATTCTTTCAAGAAGATATTCTGAAAAGAATAATTATTTCAAGACTGAAATCTAAAATATTAAAAACAAGAACAGGACAAACACAGCAAAAGCATTCATCCACCCCTGCAATGGTGACAGGGAATGATTAATACAGTAACAGTAGCTGGCCACTTTAAGGAGGTGAGAAGGCTGGGGATCCTATGCAATTTTTTTATCTTGTAAATAGATGAGAAATTTTTTCATCCCTTTTGTTTTTCACTCACACTCACCACTTGGTGGAGATGAGCATTTCTGGGTTGAGGGATGTGAAATTACTTGTTGGTGTGCATCTCTCAAGTGTGAGTTCACAGTGGTTTAAAAGAACATTGCTCATCTAAACATCGTATGGTTTTGGTTTATATTCTTACTGTTTCCCACCTAAAACCAAAATGCATGGTGAAGTCACTCAAAAGTCAGTCCCAAACACAGGAAATTTTGTGCATAGCTTTGTAAGAGTAGCCTGAGTTCGGCTGTATAATTAACCCCATTATCATTACTGTGTTGTGCCACCTGCCATCCATGAAGGTTTTCCACCACCCATTTTAATCCGAAAACCCATAATACTGACACTTACCAGAAGCTTACAGAAGACCCTCCCTCCCCAAATACCTGGGCATATGCACTGTGGTTGAGGACTGCTTTGTTTTAAAAGCTACACATTTTCCTATTTAATTGTGCTTTGGAAAAAAAAAATAAAAAGCACAAAAAACCAAAATCAAACAAAACAAAAAACAACTACTAAACCAACACAGAGAAGCTCCTAAAAGGCTTCATGAAAAGTGAGCTGCCAAGATTTTCTGAATCCTGCAACACTTTCACATCAAGTCCTGTTATTCTGTGTGTTGGTTGGAGGTGTAGTAATACAGCACGGTGGTGTCAGCTGTCATGGTGGGAACCATTCATGTCAGACACTACAGAAAATTTAACGACATGACAGTACCTTCACAGCCCTCTGGTAGGCAAGGAAAATCTAAAAGGATCTTCCCAACCTTTCACAGTAAACACAATTGGATAATCTAAAGCACCTGCAAGCAGGGGACAAGTCCGTGATATATCTTTGCAATCAGCCAGCTACTGTTATTAAAACAGTTAAGTTTATCAGCTCTTACGTCTCCTGTCTGTTTTGGGCATTTCAAAGGACCATATCAATTTGGCATTTAGCTGCCAACAGATTTAATTGATGCAGACACTGTATTTCCTTCTCCTGTAATGCTCAGCTAAGACACCCAAGCCCTTCACAGGGGCTGAATTACCATCTCCTTCAAGAGCTATCTGTTTCCTATTCATTCCTAGGAGCTAGCAGTACAGAGACATCCTGCTCTTCCGCATGGCTTCGCTGATCAAGTATGCCGGGCTCAGTTCTGGCTCCTCAGTCATGATTGAAATGTTCTGCCACTCCCCCAGCTGGTTTGACTTTTTAATGGTGTCCACCACACACAGGGCGTACAGACAGTCGTCAAAAGTGGCAGCCATCGTAAGGGGCCTCCCATCCCAGGTCCTCCTGTCGTCCTGGTCCTCAAAGGCCTGCCGGACAGCCTGGACCATCTTAATGGTGCCCCGCAGGTAGGGGGATGGGATGTCACTGAAGGCTTTCTCCGGAAGCAAGGAGTTGCTGACTGGCGTGGAGTCCTTCAGCAGGAGCTCCCGCTGAGGAGAGCTGTTGCTCTGTCCGTAGAGATCAGTGCCCATCACAATGAGCCGTCCCGCCGAGCCCACCACGATGATGTCCTGCTTGAACTCCCCCGGGATGTTGAAGTTGAGCGTGACGGTGCAGCACACGCCCCCTTCCAGGACCATCTGAAATGTACAGAAATCGTCGCTGGTGATCTGTCGGATGCCCTTGATGTGGTCTGTCTGCTTCACGAAGGTCTTGAGCAACCCGTGCACCTTCACGGCCTTCTGGCTGGTGAGGAAGGTCAGCAGGTCGATGATGTAGGTGCCGACTGAGTGCAAGCCTCCGCCTCCCATCAGGTCATCACAGCTCCAGTTGTATTTCTTGCCCAGCAGGCTCCCGCTGTGGACCTGCACCTCGCACACCAGCAGCTCCCCCACATAACCCTCCTGGATCAGCTGCTTCATCTTCACGAAAGCAGGCAGGAAGCGCAAAACATTCCCCATGATGCTCATGAGCTTTGGGTAATAATGAGCTGCAGTCATCATCCTAAAGGCATCCAGGGGAGTCGCCGTTCGGTCACAGATGACGTTTTTCCCAATGCCTGAAACAATGAAAAAAAAAATCATCAATAAAGTTTTATCAATGGAGTAAGCTGAAAGCCTCAAGGCTATTCTTAAAGACCAAGCAAAGGAGAAAGATCTTAAAAGAATAACACCATGCTGAAATGTTTTCAAGGCACAAAGACCCACTCCAGCAATGCTTCCAAAATACATGTAAGAATTTCTTAAGCACCACAGTGTAAATGTGCTTCTTTTTATTTTCAAAAAGCACTCCTGTCTAAAAAGAGCTCAAAGGTGAGAGCCTGAATAGAAAATAGTAAGCTCCCTTCTGGGAGCAGATATGAAACCAATCACCCACCTCAGCCATCTCACAGATGCCTCTTCTGTGACAACCTGTCTCCATGCAGGGGCTTCTGTGAGCTGAATCTGAGGTTCAGATTCAAATCCCTGAAGGGTATGAATAACACAAGTGCATGTATTCAGTAACTTAACACAGGTACACTGAAAACCCTGGCTTTTCGGTACTCTTGTCTCTTCCTCTTTCCTGCTCAGACTGTTTTAAGAGGCTCTGAGGAGAAAAGTACTGGGCTTGCTGCTTAATTTAAAATTAAGAAATTACTTCTCACTTATAAAACGCCCACTATTCTGACAACGGCACTCAAGTGTTTTTGAGGCAGTTCTGCTGAAATGTCAGCAGTGCATCCATGGTGCCAAAGGAGAGTCAGGATTGCTCTAAAACAGGTCAAATGTAGCTGTGACAATCTGTTCCCTCATGGAATTGTCCATATGGCACACACTGTTTACTGAAGCTTGCATGACAGTCCCCTTTTATCTGGTCATCCAGGTGTGCAACTGAATGCACTTCAAACTAAAAAATGGGCTCACTACTGATTTCTCCTCCTCAAATACTTTCATTCTGTACCCATACACACATATAAGCAACAGAATCTCCAGTTTCTTTCTTAGTTGCATATAGACTTTTTTTATGTTTAATTATCAATATCAGGTGAGCTGTGGAAGACTTTGGATATAAACTATGACACTAAGACTTTTGCCTGGAGAGCCTTGGGCTACAGCTGGGCCTGGCACTTAAAAGAGCTGAATTTGGGTCCTTGCTGATGGAGTCCAGATGAATAAATGTGGTTACTTGCTAAATCACATGGTATTTTCATTCTTGTTCCCTTCAGGTAATTTAAAAAATCCCTTTTTCTTTGAAGAGTATAAAATTTCACATGTTTTGGAGCTGTTTGGATGAAGTCATATAAATATAGACAGATGGTAGGGATCTATCTGAGCCCACTTACATGAATATTTAACAGCCTGACTGGAAGAAGGGGGGCACAGTCCAAACATTCAATAACCAGCTTATCCACACTGCCTATTCCCAGTCTTTGTCTGCTGCTATTTGAGTAGCTGAAACTGGAGGGAGGGAGGGCTGTCATTGCTGAAGTGGCAGTCATATCCAGTTAACAGAGAAGAAGGGAAAGATCTTTCTTCAGCTCACTCCTATTTACCTTTTCCTTAATCAGGTAAGTAAAGACACACCCATTTTTCTCTTAAATTAGGCAAGAATCTTCTATTCAGTGGCCATGGTCTTCTCTTCTTACTTTTCTCTCTCATTTTTACAGATTGTACCTGAGTTGATATTTTCAATAATGTCAACTAATAGCACTTCTTTTTCTGCCCCTGAATAATTTTTTGCTGCATCTGTTTGATACTGGAGAAAGCATTCATCCACCTGCCCTACATCCTCAAATTGGTAGTCCAGCTATGCCACTTGATACAAATCACTAATGTAATAGTCCTTGAGTTACACAGACTCTTGGCATAGAGATTTTAGTCTGGCAAATTAGTTATCAAAGTAAGGGAAATCTTAGACAAAACATCCCTAGAGTCAAACCTTTCTGACATAGCAATTTTACCCCCGAAGAACCAATATATGCTACCTCATTATCTGACCTGCTCACCACTGATCCACAAAAGAATCACGTTCTGCTCCAGTTCAGTTTGCATCATTCTGCCTCACAGACGCCTGCCACATTTTATCTGAGGTCTGTCCAGGCACTGCATACGCAGCTCTACACCTGTGCTTGCTAGGAGAAGAATCTGTGTTCATGAGGAACTGCAGCCTGGGGACAATCTTTTTGCTGAGTGTGCCAAGCCATGCATGGTGGGGGTCAGTCCTGCACCGTGTGGGGCAAGGAATACTTGGGATTGGCAACATCTGAGTATGAAATTATGATTATTAATATGAAAGAGAAGCCTGTGGGTTTTTACATTCCATACATTAAAGAAAATTGCCATTGGGATCAGGCACATGTGCAGAGGAAAGGGAAGAGCCCTAAATATTTATATGGGGATAGGGAGAAATTGAAGTCTTAAAATTACTCCTTCCACCATTTCAATTTTTTTAGAAAGGCTGAAACTTTCTAATTTCAGAAAATCACAAATGCAAATATTCTGAGAGACTTTCTGTCTCTGTGCATATGCTGATATGTGCTGTTCTCTCATCCCTATCAGGGATTTAAACAGATTTTTGCTCGATGCCCAGAAAGCTTTTATATGCTATTAAAGCTTGTGCAGTTCTTTCAGCATAACACTGCTCAGCATTAAAGCTTGTGCAGTTCTTTCAGCATAACACTGCTCAGCACTTGAGTCTGTGTGCACTACAGATCTTTGTCTCCTCCATAGCTGCAAATCTGCAAACAGCCACATTAGCTTTCTGGAAGTAGGGAGAGAACATGAAAGGTTTGCTTAATTTAATTTAGAGCAATACTCTTGTGTGTTTATGCGACCAGAATGAGAAAAAAGCGGATCAAAACACCATTTTTCTGCTCTCTCCCCTCCACTCCCTTCTCAAAAGGGGAAGGAAGAAAAGGCACCCTCCCTTTGAACCATTCTCTATAGCAGCATCAGGCAGAGCAGAGAGCAGTGTGCAAGGAAAATCTCCCTTCCCAACACTAAGTCTCATGGAAAGACATTGGCATGCTCTGACTGCAGGTGCTGCGGGGGGCTTCTCTGGGAACTGACCCTTTTCTCCTCTAGTTTGGGTCTGTGGTCTAATCCTCTCCACTTTTAGACAAGACTCTAAGAAATGAGTTACTCTAAGAAATTGTTACTGTTTGTCATTCTACCAGCGTGTTTTGCTGTTTCACATGTCTTTGAAAATCTCACCACAACTGACAGCAAAAACTTCATTAGTTACATAAAAGCAGGGAAATGCAGCTAGCTTGTTTCAGCAGGAAAGTGAAATATATCTGTCCATGCTGATAAGCAACACAGTTGGATAAATCTCATCCAATGAAAGAACATACACCCCTTTCACCTGCATCAAGAAATCTGGTATACAGTGCTGTTACAGTTCTCAACCAGGCAACTTATGAGCATTGATTTCTTGACTTCTCAGGTAAAATGATGAAGACAAATATTTTAAATACATATCAGTCTTTCTGAGGGCTCCACCCTGGTCTCCGTGCTTGGCTCTGCTCTAGATAGAGAGTGGTGCCAGCACTGGGGATGACTCGCTCCTGGCCAGCCCAAGTCCAAAGCTGAAGGTGGGGAATGCATCTCCTACCAATGCTCGTAAAGTGCAACCCCCAAGCCAAACCTTAACACCTTTGGTACCAGTCTGCGTTTTTTGAAGAAGGTTATTGAAGAACAGTGATCTTCTCTGAAGAAGCAGATGTCTAACCAACTCTATAGAAGTAGCCAAGCAATTAGAAAAAAATTGTCTGTGCTGTCATTGGTGCTACCATTCAAGTGAAGATCTCTAGCAGTTTATGCTGGAAAGTCAAATCATAACCATGCTCTAATGGCTTTTCACCCACCAAACAGTATTTAATTCTGTCAGGAAGCCATGTGATTTATTTGCAATCCTCAGTCTTCATTTTAAAAAAGGGAAGTCCTTGTGAATTGGATATAAGCCCAGAAGTGAGAGGTGAGTAGATACAGTCCAGGGTAGTGTATTTACATTTTTTTCCATGTAAGTGCAGGGAAAAAGTGAGGAGCTACAGTAAAAATTTAACCACTCTGAATTTCCTGGAATTTGCATATTTTCATTTTACAGATGAAGCTCCTTTTAAGCTCTTTGGCTACTAGCAGCCCAAGTTTCTTTGTCCCTGTATCATCCCTGTGCTGCACAGCTGAAAACAAGCAGAACTCCTGGGCTCACAACGCAGGGAAGGTAGAACAGCTGTAACCAGCACAGGCATCATCAATTCTGAAACCTTCAACGTCAGCTTTTTTCCCCATCTGCTTTGATTGTTTCAAATAAGGAGACAAATATTTTCACATAAAAAAAACCTTCACTAATTTAAAAAACAAGTGTCTGTCTCTGAACTGAAGTAAGACTAGTCCTCTATCTGTTCTGATTAAAATATGAGGCCCCAATACAATATTTTCTCTTCCTCCTATTCACAAGAAAATCAAAAAGGGCTCTATTTGGAGTCTGGGCATATAATCAAATCCTTCACTGGCACCAGAAAGATTCATTAGTTAGCAATTTCTACCTATTGCTCTTTGTCTGAATGGGGAAGTGAGACAGAGGGAAATAAAAAATAAGGTTTTGGTGAACTGAATTAAATTTGTCAGCAGGAAAAAAAAAGCAATAAAATCATTATAAAAGCAAAGAGGAACTGTCAACATTGAAAGGATAGTCTGAGGCTTTCAGAAAATACTGGAGTGGTGAAAAGAGCACACTTACCAGATTATTTCAAATGGATGACTTAAACTTATTATAGTATGTTTTTCAAACACTTAAAAAAAAAGAAACTAATACAAAACTATATTCCAAATGGTAACAATCCACATTATCATTAATAAACATACAAAAAATAAATATGGACAGGTTTTTCTTCTCAGATTTTCACCATTGCAGCTGCTCTTGCTGCCTTTGGAGCCTATGCACAATCAGAGGAAGGCCTTTGCCTGGGTGTTTATGAAAAACTATGATCAAAATAAATGACCTAAATTAAAATACACTACTTTTCATTTAAATAATTGATACCCAGCAGTTTGTTCTTCTGCACATATGTATACACATTGTCAACTCTGGGACTGTGCACAGAAACCATCTAAGAAACTACATAAGGCACCTGGAGCCAGCCTGTAGCTCTCTACAGCAAAATTGATCTTTGATACAAACTGTCAGTAGGGAGAGCTGTCTATTTTACACAACAATGACCTCGGAAATCCTCAGTTATTTGAACCATTCCCTTCTATCCCTTTATTTGGAATTTGCAAAAAATACAACATTTGGCAGCTTAATTTTGCCAGGACCTGTAAAAAACTTTCTCAGTTATCAACTCATTCCAATATTTAAACAGTCTGAAAAAAATCAGAGGCTAATAATGAAGTTCTCTTTTCTTTCCAAGTTCATCACTCCCTGGAAAACCCAGAAGACTGTTTAAGACATCTGAGCTGTAACCATGCTAAACCATTGACTACAAAGGAGACACACAGACCTAAAAGAAGGTGACATTATTTTTTCTGTTTCAAAAGTGTCTTCATGATAACCACAGTCATGGTCCCTTTTGTATGAAGCTAGAGGCAACCATTTGGTACTATTTGATATTTCTAACAGATCTGAGAGACACATAAAACTGAGATCGTCTCTTTGGAAATTGTACACAGATATAGAATTCAAAACCAGAAGCTCATCCAGCCACTCATTTTAAGTTTTGATAGCTGGGGTGGCTCAAAGATAAGCAATGATACAGCCAGTTTAGCCTGCTACATGCACAGCGAGCCATAAACCTCTGGCACTATAAATTACAATTCTCTGATTTGCTCTTCAATCACTGCAGTATTATTTGGTGAGCAGTAGCCTCTCTTTACTACAGCTCTGCAAAGGCTTCCTTCCTCCCTTAGATGCAGTTGATGACTACAAGGTTACCTTGGTCCCTGTCTGTGAGGAGCAGGCAATGCCCTGACCCCAGGCACAGCTTCCAAACAGGCATCTCTGCAAAATGCTGCCTTCATTGGGCTCTGTTGACACAAAACTGCTGTAAGGACAGGAGGGATATTGTGCTCATTAATACAAAGCTCATCTGCATATTGGAGCAGTGGACAGAGACTGGCAAATGGCATCAGAAGGACCCAGGTGAAGTCCATAGTCCTCCTTCCCTCCTGGGGCTCCCTAGAGAATCCAAGGTGGACACTGGAGTCACTCCAGATGAGCAAGCATCAGCAGAAGTCCAGCAGAGAAAAACAGGAAGGTGGCTGTGAAAACAAGGATAGGGAAAGGAGAGGGAGCTGGAAGTAAAAACACTCCCATGGTGGAAAGAAAGGCACTGCAAGGGGTGTCGCGAAAACCCAGAGGTGCTCCTGCCACTCCAGGAGCTGTGCAGCCAGCCCTAATGGTATCAGAAACATCCCCACTGTTTGGAGGCTCATCCTAAAAGGATCACCTTCAGTCTAATTTTTTGTAAGCCTTGATAGCATCTTTTCTGCAAAAGAAACAAACAATGGAGGAGAAAGAAATATATTTCAGACAAAATCAGCACTCTTTTCTACCCAGAGACTGAACACGAAGGAGGGACTATTAAGAAAAAGTATCTGTGTTAAAATATATATTTATGAATTAAGCTGTTGCCCAACAGTACATTAGCCTAGAGAAATGCAATACTGGAGCAGGCTATTTTATGGGGCTGATACTATTTTCTGATTAATTATATGTGGAGATGTGTGAATCACATACTGCACAGTGGCTAAAAGCTTTTGAATCCCTCATAAAATAGATATGCAGGAAGAGTGGAAAACTGGATAAAAGGCTGCTCTATTCTGGGCAATGAGGAATGATGTCTGGGCCGTCTCAAAAAACCAATCACTCAGATGATTTGAAAACCTTTTCACATGGGAGGAGGATTTTTATTAGTATGTAGGTGTGTCTCTGCTCTTATGAGATGCTGCTGCTGCCATCTATCTTGTGATACAGTAATGATTATAGTAACAATAAAAATAATAGTTACATTTATTGTATTCAGTGCATGATCTGTCATTCAATTCTTGAGTGGCATGAAACAATACATTTATTTCAATCAGTACATCTGCCAAGGAAAATTGATGGCTTGACAATGTTTCTTCGAAGAAACCTTATTTAAGAAAACTTTTGACAAGGAAATAAATCTGGATGATGAATGCCTAACAAGATTGGCTTTAGTCACAGCTCTAACATTGGCCAAGACAATCTTTGTTAATCACAGATATGCGTATCTGCTGCAAAACATCAATTTACTACAACATAGTGAATCACAGCTCACGATCTGATTTGTATTAACAGGCCATGTGTGTATTCCTAGTCTGCTGTAAGTGTGAAGGAAAATAACAGTGACTGAAGGAACATGTTTTCCTTTGCAACTGGAACAGACAGCGACAGCACACAGACAGTAATACACTGCCCTGTTGATGAGCAACAGCTCATTTGGCCCCAGCAAACCAATGGCTTACAGAGATTTTACAAACCCTACACCTCTTCCTCTGCATCAGAATATTACCAAGTTAAAGAACATATGCACTGTTAAATTTTACAATCAACTGGGACAAATTGCACTTCACAAATATTAGATGAGTAATATCTTTACAGTAAAAACATACATACCTGAACTGTACACCCCTAAAACCAAGGCCTCAGTCCATTTATGGCTCTGGTCCATCACACTGATTCCAGTTTTTAGGCTGGTTTATCTCACTGATATAACTTATTTTTTTGACCAACTCCTTTGAAAACAAAACTTAAACATTCAAATACACTGGGGAAGAAAAGCTGTATGTGAGCATCTCTGCCTTGGCTGCCCTGTAATCGCAGGCTAAACCAAACTTCAGTCAAGCAACAACTGTATGCATGATGAGATGAAAACCTGCAAGGGCACCTTGCTGCTGGTGACATACGAGCATCATCTCCAGGGACAGTTTAGGTGTCACTCAGCTAACGAGGCACATGCAGCTCACATGTGCAGTGCCACAGCTGCAGTCAGGCTCAAGAGGTAAGAGGGTTACTATGAGCTGGGAGCTCACAGCAGTGATTGCAGCAGGGTTAGCAGACTGTAAACCCCTTCAAACAAACAGAAAAACAAGGAACTGCTTTGTCTTGAAATAAAAAAAAAAAAGAAAGGAAAAAAAGCTATGCTGGGTTCTTTTGTAAATAGCTCCTGAGGTGTGGTGCCTAGGCTGGGAAAAGACCCCTGCTGACTCCAAAAATATTATAATGATGTCTGCAGGTAAGGAAGTGCCACCTAAGCAGAACCAGGACAGTTAATCAGAATGAGAGAAGACTGTAATGATTATATCAATTTTCATTATGTACTAATATTACATTAATTTTATTTGCATGGAGGTAATCATTAGGTTATGGACTGGGGCCATGTCTGTGCATATATTACAGCAGATATAAATGTTGCTGTAGCAGTGTTCATGGCATTTGAAATAGATGCATTTCTTCCATGCTTGACACTGGACTCACATTTGCTTCATAGGAAAGTTTCAGGTAGTATCCCTGCAAGGAGCAGGGATTTGGACTCAGTGTTCCTTAGAGGTCTCTTTCAACTTGAGATATTCTAGGATTCCACAATATAGAACTTCTGCAAAGACCGTATGTGCTACTTGAAGGTAACTTTCCTAGTAAGGCCTTACAAATTTCTGAGTGTTTATTCTGTTACTTTGGCAAGCTGGGGCCTTTGATTTGGCACTATAAAGTTTCTGCATCATTTAATCCATGGGCAGTGTGCTTCAGAGCAAGTCAAGCAAGAGCTGAATTCCTGTGTATGCCAGCATACTTTGCAAGGCAAAATTCTCTAACCTGTTCCTAACACGGACTAGAGCTTGATTCCTTGTTTTTAGCCCACTTGGCATGTCATTCGCATCTCTTCTATGAAGGCACTTATGCAAATAACAGCACTGGAGCCTGAAACAAATTAAGTACTTAGTAATTTTTTAACTACTTAAGAACCTTTAACTGCTGGGAAATCTAGAGAAGGTGCAAATACACCTTGACAAACCAACTACTTGTGCACACCACAGGGAAATGCTTCAGGGGTCTCAGCTTGAGATTATCTGTTCAGGCATCTGAAACATGCTCAGACTACATTTCCTGAGCCCTACTTGGATGCTTTCCATGCTCTCATACGTGCTTGGGAAAAAGCATATGGGAAAAACCGTGCTGGCTTTCCCAAATTTCTGTTTGATTTTTTTATCTTCAAATCCCCATCAAAACAGCATGATCACGTCCCTGCTGAGTACTTTCCTGTACAAGAAAGAAAATCAAAAGCATTCAGATAGGCTGAGGAGAAAAATCCTTCAGATATTCTACTTAGACCTTATTCAAGCAAACACTCACTGATTTCAAGGGGATTTTAATTGTTTTAGGACTAAGTTAAAAACTCAGTGAAAATCTCTGTGTTTGGTCATTTATTTCTTCCAACTACTCTAATTTCTTTTATTCAACTTCTAGAGCAAAATGCATGCCATCAGTCCAGTATATTATAATACCTTTCTTTTCTTCAGAAAATAAGTCACAGAGCAATCACAGTCTATGATCAATCTCTATTCTCCTGAGACATTGTTATCTGTATTAAAATATGTTTCTTTTTGTGTTGGCTGACAACAACTAAATGCCCAGCTGTTATAAAGGCTTTGGGAGGATTAGGAAATCAGGCAGTTCAATTTTTTTTCAGCTTGCTTTTCCATCACAGAATTGTTTATGCTTCCAGAGCCAGAGAAGTTTATGACTGTTAATTAGAGTTAATTTTCTTTATATTTTTCTTGCCTACCCATTCTACTCTATTAAAACTAGCAAGCTGTAATCTAGTACTAAATAAAAAACTGACAAAAGATAAACATCAGACTAATGCTGGTGAGTAGTTAATGCACTCATTTGCATTTGTACAGGATTCATGAAGCTTTATAAACATTGAAAAATTACATTTCGCCAGCCAAGTGACAGGGACACTGAAAAAAAAAAAAAAAACATTGGCCCTACAAGTAATAGTGTCAGATCCCTATCTGCATCTCCCATGGCATCACTATGCAGAGCAGCATCAGTACTCCCCCTGCACTTTACTTCAGGATTTTCTTCAGTAAACATCCAGTCATGCAAGCTCTTTGCAGGAGAAGCACTGAAGTTGCCAGTATGATCCCTTCTATGTAATGATTGTATGAAGCATCAGCTTCACTACCCACTTAGCCCACACCATACTGCAAATGTTTTTCCTAATCTTATCTCTGCAATATTTTCAGCTGGGGTATTTCTACTTCTTTTCCTGCCCAGTGAAGTCTGAAGGACTGCTGTGCTGAAGAAAATGTGTGTCACCCCTGCAGTGCTGGATGACTGGAGCATGCACTTGACCTAATTTTCTGATATGAGTGGTTAAAATAAATTCTAAGATAATTACTCATGTTCCCAAATCCTTTATTGACTACAGATACCAAAGCACCCAGCTATGGACTGGGATGCACTAACATAACTGGGTTCATTTGAAGATTGTGCCCACAAACAAAATTTTTACTTCAGTACAGAAGCACATAGACACAGACACGTGCCAAGGAGCAGGAGAGTCCCTTTCACACACACACAGACACAAGTACATGGCAGGTGGAGGTGAGCAGTGCCATTCTGTTCATTCAGTAGTGAGTGTACAAACACCCTGTGTGTCCCTGTGTGCACCCTGTGGTCACATTTTCTCTTTCACATACACAGCTATGAAAGTTGAAAACATCTATTTGTAATCACTAGGCAAACCCTACTAGAGCCCATAAGGCTGTGTGTGGCAGCAGAATTGGATTTTCCAGCATGTAAGGCAGGAATGGACAAACACTGGGTACACAATGCATCTTGGAGAGAATGTTCTGTCAGTGGTTTCCTACTCATTGTGTCATCAGGTCCCCTCTCTTCTCTCTGAGGGGCAGCAGCAGCAGAGCTGGAGAGGCTGGCATGACTGCTCTGCCCTCAGGAAAGGCTGCAGCAGAGAGGAAAAGCTGTGCCACAAAAACTGTCATGACAAAACCAGGGAGCTGGTCCAACCTCCCCAACCTCACCCAGAGGGCTCGAGGCTGCCTTTCCCATCTGTTCATTTCCGGTGTGCCCTTTCCCCAGGACCAGGGAGACTACAAAACCATACACAAAACAGTGGATTTGCAGCAGGACAATATTCTCCCACATGCCTAGCTCATAAGACTTTGCCTAAGTCTATTTACAGGTGAGCCCATGGCATGGATTCTTCAAGGCTTCTGATTTCCTCTTCACAGTCCTCTGTTAGTTAGTTAGTCCTCTGCCCAGACAGAGATGGTTTTTATGTCTTGCCAACAACATCAGGTCCATAGAATACACAGGCTAAGAAAATAAGGTAGTCTGGCCTACATAAGAAAAATCAAGCCAGTTCAATCAAAATCCTGATCAAAATTAAATCCCTTTGTTGGGATCCTTTCATTCCAAAATACATTCTTATACAGGACCCCCACTTCTCAGAGTCAGTGTTGAGTAGTGCAGCTCTACCCTACCCATAACCATGCTGGGTTCCTTTAGTCCAGCCCCACTCCCACTCTGAAGTTGTGAGAATTCTGATAACAGAATTCTCCAGAGAGCTGGCATCAGGCCTCAGCAAACTTGAAGGCAAATTTATTTTGACTGTAATCCCATGAATTAAAGCAGTCACATTGGCCATTGGTCTGGCTCTTCAAGCAATGTGATCAATAGAACAGTCAACAGATGATGAGCAAATGGGGGTTTAAACTAACAGTACTTTTGTTAACTTCTCATCCAACATTATTTTATGATTCTCAGGTTCTTAGAGAAACTTCTAAATAAATTATTAAGTGCTCCCCTCAAGGCAGTCATCTTAGAATTGGTGTACTTTCTTGGGTAGTATTTTATATTCCTGTCAGCGAGCACTAAGTGCCGCTGAAGAGGAGCCATAAACCCATTCTGAAAAGCAGCAGCGAGAATTAATCAAATGAATCAGCAATTCTGACTGTGTGAGACGCTGACATCATGCTTCCCTGGCTCCAGCCCTGGGTCCATAAGAATGATGGAGGTCTGATTAATTACTCCCCAGGCTGCAGAGCTTACACAAGAGCCAAGGACTCAGCAGCAGCCCAACCAGCTGACTCAGAGAGCAGTAACTCATCGGGTGCAATCTGCCTGGATGCCAGATTGTCCTGCCTGCAGTCAATCTGCAAACTAACCCTCCCAAAAGGGTTTTTGGAAAATGCCATTCACACTCACACTGGCTAAGTGTGCACCAGACAAGATGCAGCTACGGCACAGTAGCAGCTGAAATCATATTTTATTATGCTATTCCACTTGCTCTGAAGGACACTGGGAACCTTTCCCCACGACTGAAAAACTGCTGGAAAACAGATCAACACTGCAACATTTACCCATTATGTTCATTATGCTGGATATAGTTAACTATGGCAGCCCAAGCTGCTGTGTTCTTCATCAGCCTTAATGCCTGATTTTGTTGTATTTACATTGTAATCCCAGGACCCTCTTGTGCCAAGTGTTCCACAAACACACAATGGAAAATTAGCCCCTATTCACAGCACACTTTGTTTCACCATCTGCATCCTGGATACCTGGGCTGGAAAGACAAGTCAACATGGGCAGTTCCTCTCACTGTGCCCACCTACTGCTGTGGCAGAAGTGCAGCCCAGGTTGCCTTACCTTATGCTGTTCTGAGCTCACTGCAAAGCTATGTTCGGACCTCAACCCTTTGAAGCCCCAGGAGAACCTGAAGTAATATTCCAGGGGTAGAAACTTCAAGGGTAGAGCTCTCCTGCACTTGATCTGTGCTGCAGTGGGTGAAAGAAATGTAATTTTTATCCACCTATACTGTTGCAGGTACATATCTGATTCAGTGAAGAATAAAACACCTATAAAGTAGGTCAGCAATTCTTAGACAGCACTTGCACTTGTGTCTCCTTTCAGAAACCACATAACACACTGATCTCCTAGGAAAAGGAGAGCGCAAAGGACGAGGCATTTTCAAGATAATAAGAATTGCTTTATTTCTGAATACCAGTATGCAGCTAGAATCCCAAAGCTCTTCAGCTGCTCTATTTTTCAGTCACAGATTTGGCTCAGATTCCTATGCAAAACAACTCTACAAAGCTTATTTTTCAACCCAATAACACTGTTTTCCCTGAATAAATGTTATTTTCTACCTGTAGCCTCTACAAGAGAAGAATGAGCAAGAACTTGTGAGGATAAATCTCACAGTGGGCACAGACAGTTTTCAATTTAAGTTCTGTTGAGATGCTAACTGATCTCACAGAGCACCTCTTCACTCAAATATGGCAACCCAGGAGGTGTTGGGTTGGGATGCTACAAAGAAGCTTAGGCTAATTAATTGCATTTCTTTTTCTGAGTATAGTGTTTTCCTGCCCTGCTGGATACTCAGAGGCCAGCACTGGTTCCCCTGATTAACAGTACCTCATCATGAATTCAAAGGAAAAGCCGCAGGCTAAAGAAAACTGGATTTTTGTTAGCAAGGATTTGCTCTTGGCAAATAATTATAATTGCCAGTGTTAAAAGGAGATAGTGAATTAACTACAGCAGACATGAGAAATAAATATGGAAAAAAGCTTTCAATAATTACAGTGCATATGTCAAATGGAAATTATGCCCATTTGCATAGATCTGCAGTCACATTGTACAATATCTCAAGTGGCTTCACAGTAACAAGCTTGTATATTTAAAATCATTTAATATAGCCCAGGGTTTTAATAGTCCAAAAGACACATGGTAAGTACAGACCAAAAGTTATCTTGGAATTCTCTGGGTTTTTATGCCCCATCTACACAGAGTTCATTATAATTTCATAACTATTCATTAAGAAATATACTATCCCCACCCCCAAGTACACACATAGTTTTCCTGATTAAAAGCATGTTATAGTTTTTTTTGGTTCATTTCAATAGGTCATCTTTATTCCAGTATAACCACACTAAGCTGCACTACTACAACTCTGTATATACAACATCATATCCCACATCTTGCACCACGGCTAACTTCCAAGCAGGGCAGACAATTCCTTGGGAGCTCTGCATTATTTGCCATGTGCTTCAGTCTGGATGACATTTCCAGTCAGACACCTGAACACAAGTGTGGGTGGATTTGGACAAGAGCCTTGCTCTGGAATCCAGCCAAGGATCACACACTCATGGGCCACTGGAGAAGATCCTCCTGAACAGCTTCAGAAGGGTGCCACACATGTCTGATGTGGCGAGGAGTTGATTCCAAATCCATCTGCTTGTTGCTGCTTAGGAATGAGGGAAATTTATTAAAACCACCCTCTTATTTTCCCTTTCATTTATGACACCAGTCTACTTAAACTTGAACTGGGAATTCCCATGCCAAAAAAAATATGCTCCCTAGGACATTTGGGAGATGAGCTTTTTGACTCTTCAGTGTCATTACCTCCTTTCAACTAAACTATGAGTTTGTACCTGTACTCACCACAGAAGACACTGGGAATCAGATTATTCCTTTGGAGGAACAAGGATAACTAATAGGTAATCACAGTATTATTGAAAGTTGCCACTGGTCACTTATGGTTCACTGACAGATCTCAAAGCACTTGACAAAGCCAAAGCCAATTACCCTCACACTGCAAAGACAGAGGAAAGGGGAGTCAAGAGGATTCACAATTTCTCCAGATATTGCCCAAGTGGCAAAAGCAGTAATCTTATATACCTATTTAACCTCTTCCTCATTAGTAACCTTTCTGCATCTGCAGAAATTACACCATCCTTTTAGCTTTTCCATTCAATTTTGCCATGATTTACTCTTTTCTTTAAATAAAAGCACCATATTTGCTCTTCAAAGATTGCTGGAATATCTTAACTTCAGCTGAAAGTGAAAACACCAAACCTCAGCTGTAGGAGTGTTGGTTTGACTGCCTGAGGACAGAGATTTTTTGTGCAGCAAAACTGCCAGGTTCTTGTTTTCCTGCTTTCACACACTTGACAATGGGTGCCTTGCAGGCAGGGGAAAATACCAGCTTTAGGCTAGATTCCTCCTGGGGCATTTTCCAACAGGTAGAGAAATATGAGGAGGGTGCTGAGACAAAAGCACTCCCTAAAATCATGGCAGGAACACTACCTGGCTGTGGTTATACCCATCAGCAGCAATAGGCCCATATGGAAAGATGCTACTCAGTCATAGAAGCCCTGCAGAGCACTAAGCTAAGGGTTAATATTTACCCCACCTAACTGGAAATGAACAGAGTGCCAAATCTAGGAAAGGATAATTTCTCCACAGGCAACTCACTGCCCACAGAGACTCACCCCCATGACTCAGTGCAGCAAGAGGGGGATGCCAAAACAACTATTTGTGATTTCTCGGGAGGTAAGCCTGGTCCGACTGCAGCACCGCAGGGCACTTG